GAAACAATAAATTAATATACTAAGTCTCGCTGTCGTAATTAGGTCGCCTCGATAGGCTATCGGTAGGGTTACTTACGCCTAGCCGGTATAATATATTAAAATCGAACCCGGCGAGGTAGACGGCCTATCTAGCCTATCGACCTATAACCCTTATAACCTTAGTAATGCTACGCAGGTTGTTATAGTCCGTATAGACCTAAATTGTGTGCTAAGCACTATCGAGATAGTAGCGCTAGTGCTTAAAGGCTTCTACGATTACTAAGAGCTCTTACTCGTAGGTCTCGTAACGACGCTCTATATCGATTATCTTTCGTAAGAAGAAGGCAATTAGGTGCTAATAATTGTCATTATCTAATTGCTATAATATAATAGCCGATATAGCGAACTGTAAAGCGTTAGTCTTAATACGGATCTGCTTGCTTAGTATAAAATAGTATAATAAGGGGACTTTAGTAAAGCGTTGCTTTAGACCGTTAAAAGCGGCTTGCGTCTTATTAGTCTATTTAAACTCTCTAGATAGATTAGCCTTGGTTTTAGTAAGCTTAGTTAATAGTATTATATACCTTAAATAGCCCTTAATAAAGCGGCGATAGAAGTTAGTAAAGCCGAGGAACGACTATAGCTCCTTAATTAACGTAGGAATAGGCTATTTAGTAATTGTTTTAATCCGATTAGGATTAGCCTTAACACTATCGGTTAATACGATAAAGCTAAGGAAGGACACCTCCTTAGTAGCAAAGGTATATTTAGAAGGCTTGCAATACAGCCTATAGGTCCTTAGGCAATCGAGTACCTTACGTACGGCGGCCTAATATTCTATAATATTAGGTAAGTATATATAGACTAGGATATCGTCTAGGTAGACTATATAGAGGTAGTCTAATAGGCCTAATAGGGCCCGATTAATATAGGACTAGAATATAGCGGGGGCATTTGCTAGTCTAAATAGTATAACTAAATACTTAAAATAGCCGTAACGAGTGCGGAAGGCCGTCTTCTATTTATTACCCTTACGGATACGGATGCGATAGTATATATCCTTAATGTCTAATATAGTATAGAAATAGGCGCTAGATAGGCGATCGAGGGTCTTAGTAATAAGCGGAAGTAGATAGCGGTCTTTAATAGTAATAGTATTAAGTCTACGATAGTTAACATATAGGCGTAGGCTACTATCCTTCTTTAGTACGAATAGGATAGGTATACTAGTAGGGCTGTTGCTATACTAAATTCGACTATTAGCTAGGTTCTTATCTAGGTACTTACGCAATATAGCAAGCTCTCTTTTACTAAGGTTATAGAGTAGCCTAAAAGGAACCTCCTTGCCCTATATAATATCGATCTTATAGTCCGTCTCTTTAAATATAGGCAATGTCGATACTAGGTAGTATTTAAATACCTTAATATAGGTTTCTTAAATAGGCTAAGGTATACGAGCAAGCTAATTAGGATCTATGCCGTTAGAGGGCATAGGTTTATCGTTATTACCCCCGAGTAGGTTAGTAGTCGGATTAGCTAAGGCAGAGGCTAGTGTTAGGTTGCTAATAAATAGGACCCTAATATCGTTAGGGTACTCGCTAATATTAATGTATTTAATGTCCTCTTTCCTAGAGATTCTAAATCGCTACTATTAAAGGCCTAAGTCTATAGTTATAGCGTAGTGCTTAAGGACAGGATTGCTAATAACAATAGTAGCTCCCCTATATAGCTAGTCTATATCTACTACGTAGGCAGTAAAGTCTAGTAGGCGCTTATTACCGAGGTCGTCTTTTAGAACTATAGGAATATAGTAGGCTCTATAGGTTAAGTGCCGAGCGTTATTAAACTAAGTAAGGGTTAGTAGGTTAGCCCTATTTAATTATCGAAGGTCTAATTGCTTAGTTAGGCGATAGCTAATAAGAGTACTAACTAAATTTCCTAGATCTAGTATAACCTTAGTCTTATAATTAGTGCTATACGTGTCCTATATAAGGTAGGCGCGTATAATAGCTAGTATAATATCGATAGTCTTACGCCGTACGAGGCTAATAGTTAGTATAGCGCTTACTCTTTTTTCGAAGGTTAGCCTATAGGGGTAGCGTTAGCCGCTAAGAGGTACTTTCGGTATTTAGCGGTAGTATAGTCGACTCGGGCCTAGTCCCTAGGTTTGTCGTATTAGCCTAGTAGATAGCTAGTACTATCGCAATTGAAGCACTTTAATCTAGTTAGAGGATTGCTATAGCCGCTATTACTACTATTATTAGTTAAGCGATTAGTACTATAGGGATACGAGCCCCTTCTACGGCCCCTATCGCGGCCTCCTCTATATAGCCGTCGGCTACGGCCTCTTCTACGGTCGTTGTTACTATTCCTATTATTAGCATTGTTATCTTAGTAGGAACCTTAGTTTCCTCCGTAGCTACGGTTACTATAGTTAGTACTAGTAGGTCGGATCCTTAATTCTAGTCGTTACTAGAGCTAGATAGCTCGTTTAGCTGTTTCTACCTCGACTATAAATTGAATGCGTATTAGGTTAGCCTATTTAAACATACGGCGGCGGTCTAATTCGAGAATAAGCTCCTATCTAAGTTTTAGACGTATCTCGGAAATCTATATAGAATTAGTCTTAGCCGGAAGGTTATCCTCGAGAGTCTTTAAATAGGCCTCGAATAAGCGAGCCGATTAATTAGTCTTCTATTTAGCTCGAAGATATAGGTCCTAAGTATATTATTGCCTTAGTATAGGGTTTCTAAGGGTGTCTAGTATAATAGTTTTATAGGTTTGCTACTAAATAGTAGTCTAGTTATTAAGGGAGTCGAAATGGTTATCCTATATACGCTTTAGGTCGCTATTAATATACTATATAGCGTAGACAACTAGTAAATAGTCGTCTAGAAGAGCCCTCGGTACATTTCGCTAGTTAAGCTTACAATTACGTATATAATTATTGTATTGCTTGCGACTAGAGCCGTTAAATACAGTACAGTCCTTAAGCTTAGTATCCTTCCTCTTCTAAATAGATAATAAAGAAGGTCCTACTATTAGTTTAGTTGTCGGAGCTTCCTAAAGGCGGCGAAGTTCGAGGAGGTCGTCCTTTAGCTATTATTCTTAGCGTAGGGTAGTAAGCCTGTTTTAGGTAGCTTCTTAAAGTCTCCCTACTAGTTAAGGACTAAAGGCTAGTTAGCTATATCGACGATTAACAATATTATTAAAAATATCGTCGATAGGCAATTCTAGGTCGTTACCTAGAATTATAGGTTCTTTAGTAGGCCCTCCGGTAGGCTCTTTAGTAGGCACTTTAGTAGGTACTATACTACTAGAGTTGTTATTGCTAGCGCTGCTAGCGGCGCTGCGGTTGTTATTACTTCGTAATAAGCCGGCTATTATAATAAGGGGTAATACTAATAATATATTATAGCCCCTTATAGTACGGAGATAGCGGAATTAGTAGGTATCGGCCTAGTATACTTAACTTAGTATAATAGGCCGTATAGAAGGCCTTGCTTAATAATTGGTACGGTTGTTCTAATAGAATAGTACGTATAGGTCCCGTTCTTTAGGCGTAGTATAGTTAAATCGATAGTTTTCGTAGCTATACCGCTAAAAGCTTAAAATAAAGACTATCTAGCTACTACCCTTAAAGGGTAGATCGAATACTATATAAGAAGGGTATATTAGTAGGTAGATAGGGTAGTAGTAGGTATAAGTAGTATTCGATAAAGATTTAGAAAAAAAGGGAGGAAGGTAGGAGAGTTAGCCTATTACTAAGCGCTAAGCCCTACCTAAGGCATTAAGACCCTAGCTTTACTCGAGCCTAGTTATATACCAATTACGTATAATCTCTTTAGTTCTAATAGGTATTCGGCTCCCGATATCTAAAAATCTATCGCCTAATATTTATAAAAACCTATAATAACGTCTACTTATAGTATACCTATTCTCCTACTATACGAGCTTCTACTACTAACCTACGGATAGTATATATACTCTATAATATACTATATATACGACTCTTTTAGGCGAGCTCGTTATATCTATATAAGGAGGAGTTATCGGATACGCTAGTATCCTACCTAATACCCGCTAAGCTGCCTAACATTACTCGGATATCCTAGTATTCGGGCATACCCGATGTGTATACACCCGTACACTAGTATAATATACAATATATACGACCTCTATTTCTTAGGGGCTGCAAACCCACAATACTAAACGCTGAGGAAGTTCGTTCCGGCACCAGGCACCGGCGGAGTGCCTTCCTTGTATGCCATGCCACATTGATGAAGCTCGCGGCCCTGCTCTAGCTTTGCGCATTGATCGTGTCCAAGGGCTTGGAATTTGAGAGTTCGCAGGCGTCAAGCTCGTGCTGGGTCCGGTTAGATGATCCGTACAGGCAAGAGGCTGGTAAATTCATGCATGGAACATGTTCGTCAAATCGGCGTAGCCTAGGTCCGGTAACGCGTGCAGACGACCTATCGCGGACAGAGCCGATGAAGGCATTGAACAGGCTGTGGTCATGAGCCCAAGGGCCAGAAAAAGGGGGGCAAGCTGCAAGACGACGAGCTGCGATGAAGGCGAAGCAAGCGATCGACTTTGTTGATGAGTCCACCAGAGCTGCTCACCTCCTATATCTCCCAACAACGTCTACGACTGATCGTGCTGATCTTTGTTGGAACGGCAGGGCGTAGCACAAGGGCATCCAACCCCAGGAACTGTCTTATTATCCTCGATCGATGCCAACAGTGAGAGCATCCATCATCACTATGTGATTGTGTGTGGAAGAACACTCCCTCCCAGAGATGCTTGCGAACCAGCGAACCGTAGCTCGCGTTTGACGACTGCCCTAGTCCCTGCGCTATCGATGTCGTTGCTGTCGTTGTCGATACCCAGCTCAAGCTCAGACGCCTCGAAGTCAACCTGCCTTTTCCACTTCCGCGCAACTGGATGGCCGTATGTTAAAGACATGTACTGTTCCTGTTCTGCCCTGTTTCAGATTTTTGTTGTGCGGATCACAGGCCATCATGCGTTCTTTCTGGTTTCTTACATTCACGCTCGCTGTGGCAGCCCTCGCCCAGGACAGCACAGCCGACGATGATGCAAAGAAGGCGCGACAAGCAGCTGCAGCGAAACTTCTGCCACTCATACCGGACTGTGGTGTACGCGCAGTCCTCCCAACCCGACCTGAAACCCAGCAAGCCTAACCTGTTCCACAGCTGACCTGCCTCGAAACCATGGTTTTGGCATCGCCTTGTTCGTTCACCGATCTGGACTGCAGTTGCAACAATGCAACCATTGCCGAACAAGTGGCCGTGTGCGTTCTCGGAACCTGTTCGGTCAAGCAAACGTTATGTACGTCTTGAGCCGTCGAGCACGGCTTCATATAGCAGCTGACGACGGCAATAGCAACCAAGAACATCACCGAGATCATGTGCGGAAAGCCTAGACGAGATCGAACGCATGTCATTGCCTACAGCGGCATAGGAGGAATGGCCGTCGCTGTCGCCGCATACTTCGTCCGAATCGTTTCCAAGATACACATATCTTCTCAGGGCAGGACGATCTTTACGGAGCTATGGTGGGACGACTTCGCTCTTACTCTTGGCATGATGTTTTTGATACCGCTGTGCTCGATCTCAGTGCCGAGTAAGCCCAGCATCTTGATCGACCGAGGAGGTTCGCTGACAATGCTGTACAGTCTCAAGTCCCGGACTGTAAGATCGACATATCAGGATGGGTAATACTCAGCAGCTGACACGCTTCTAGTGGAAGAGACGTTTGGACACTCACTTACCATGAGATTACGCGTACTCTCAAGGTGGGATAAGATGCGCGCATTCGATTCGTTGAGGTTACTGACTTCACACCCATAGCTTCTGTATGCGGACGAGCTTCTCTACGTGGGCTCACTAGGGACGGTGAAAATTGCGCTGCTCTTGACCTACCTACGATTCTTCTCCGTGCCCCGGTTTCGCCAATTGGTGTACATCATGATTGGAGTCAACGTCTGCTACATGCTGGCATTCATGCTTGGATCTGCATTTCAATGCAAGCCCATCTCGATGACCTGGTGAGCTTCATCGGTATTAGAAACGTGAACAAACATTAATTTTATACAGGAATCGGTGGGATGGTGAACACAAAGGAACGTGTGTGAGCTTTAATGGCTTGGGTTGGACATCGTAAGTCTTTGCGCATGGGTGTCTATGCGACTCACAAGCTAATCTGTGTCACTCTTCATCAGAGCCATATGCAACATTGTCATTGATCTAATCGTTATCGGCATGCCGATGCCGCTGCTATGGACCATGAAACTCGACAACAAGAAGAAGTTTATGGTCATGCTGATGTTCGGAGTCGGCTTCTTCGTGACCGTCATCAGCATTTTACGACTGCACATCCTCGTATCCTACGGCGAAGCCAAGAACTTTACTTGGGACTATGTGCCACTTGGCTACTGGGTAGGTCTAATAATGTCAAGGGCTAGAAGAAGTTGGCGATTGATGGCGTATACAGTCAAAGCTAGAGGTCCAAGCCGCTGTCTTCTGCGCTTGCATGCCAGCGATGCGAAATCTTTATGTAAGTGGACATCATCTTCCCACGGCAGCAATAGAAGAATCCTGACACGTTCTCGCAGCGACGCTTCTGGCCCAAGATCACGGGCAGCACACGCGGCGGAGAAACGACTGGCCAGTCCGGACTTTCAGGACGTACGTCCCCTTGGATGGTGTCACTTGACCGCCGGGTCCATAACCGCACGTGGAACGAAGATAATAACGATTGTCTAGGCACGCTTGCTACAAGTGACTATGGCGGCGGAAAGAGTGTTGATACGGAGGTAGGATTGAAGACCACGCAGGACGAGACCAAGGACATCCGTGCTGATTGAGTCTGTGTATCTAGCATTACATTCCACTCACGAATCGATCCAAGTGAGCCTCACCTTTCCCAACACTTTCCCCCCCAAAAATAAGAACTTAGCCAACTTACAAATTGCAGGAACGAAGAGACCAAGAGCGAGGCCTAACGACTCCCAATTCCGAAAACAAAAACCCAAAGACGGATGCGCTGTTCTGGACTTCGCACGACCTGATCCTATCCAAAGCCGAGCTCCAACAACTGAGCACGGCTCTTCTGATGAATCAAGCTCGACTCGTCGGGTTGGAGACTGATATTAGCAGAACAAACCTTGTTTCGACGACCTGGACATCGAACACAGACCGCTATAAAAAAGTTTTAAGTACCGTGCTATCTCTTATCGGTAGACCTAAAAGCTTCTATCTAAATCTGTTTTTTTACCTTAGTTTACGAGCGTGTGTATATATCTGCTATAAAGTGAAATAAAAACGGAATTATATTTCTAGTCTCTAAAGAATAACGTCCTTCCCTTCGTCGTCGCTCGAAATTTATTAATAGATAAAGATACCTTATACTTCGCTATAGATCTTCGAGGTTAGACTATATATAGGGGAGTTTTATATTACGGTACTTAAGAGTAATAGCTAAGCGTATCGCCGTATACAAGTTATTAACGCAAATACTATATAGTAGTAGATTCTAATAAGAAGTATAGCTACTAAAGTATAGTAGTATAGATCGTAGCTTATTAGGGATTATCCCCTACTACGAGTTACTAAGTTTTAGATAGTATAGTATATCCCTATTCGGCCTTATACTCTACGATATAATCCTAGTATTAGAGTATAAAAAGTTTATAGCCGACTATTAGATTTTCGGATCGACTCTTTTAAAGAGAAGTATAAGACTATAAATAAATACCTATACTTATTATTAGTGCCTATACTAGCTATTACGCTAGTAGAATTTCGGTTGCTTTACCTATAGCTATCGAACTTCGTCTTAAGTACCTATATAGTAAGTAATATCTACTATACTTATTAGCTAGCTTTAAGCTAACTACTGTCTACTATATATATAAAGACATCCTATAATAGAGTAATAAGATCGTAGTAGTACCTATCTAACCCCTCTTACCTTACTAAAGTTCTAGGTCCGATCTATACTCTTTTCCTACCTAGGGTAAAAAGGAACTATATCCCTCTTATTAGCTACTCTAGAAGCTATATATCCTTCCTAGAATAGTAACCCTAGTATAGACTACGCGTCTATTATAAGTCGGTAGTTATAGGCTAGGATACTTCTTTAAGTCTAGCAAGTATACGTCTTAGGTCTAAGATAGCTTTTCTTTAGTCTTAGTAGTTAGCGGCGATCACACTAAGAGTAGAACTAGTAGTAGCGATAATTTCGGCTAGACGGTCGTTTATACTTGAACCTAGTGCATAGGTAGGTATGCGCTACTAAAGAAACGGGTAGGAACGTGCATGCTTCGATTTCCTTTCGTTCTAAACATAGCGTTAGTTATACGTAAACGACTTTGGGAGTGTGTACATACGCTGGCACGTAGATAGCAGCTCTTGTCGAGTTCCTCTTTCACTTAGTGCATCTTTGCGTTGAGCTCGCAATAGAGCGTCCATTCATTTCTCACAATTCGGAATTCTTGACAATCGTTCTGGTGGAGTTGAAAAGCACGCTATACAGCACCTTAGACCTATTGCTTGACTTGGGAGATCCTCGGAGACCAGCAGTGTCAGCGTGCACTGCTGGTGAACAAAATGCTTTCAAGATTTTTTCATTTCTCTAGGCAAGGTAAGCAGGCACTAGAACGCTCAAATGCCATCTATGAAGCTAATGAGTCTTCGCAGAGTCTTATCGAAGGACTTCTTACCACCATGACTGGACTTACGCACATCGTAGCCACTGATTTCACTGCACCGGGTAGAACACGAGACGCCGAAGCAAATCTGTAGCAAGTCCCGATAGCGGTCGATCCCACAGACTCGACCCGCAGTGGTACGTCGGATTAGCTTTAGGTTTCCTTGGAAGACTAGACTGACCTGAGAAGGTACTCGCCGATTTATAGTTGAGACTGCTCAACAGTACCCGAGCCTGCATATACAGATGAACACCTTCGTGACCAAACTCCTGCTTAATACCAGCAGCCACAAGCCTCGAACTTATGGAGTCCGGTATGAAGTTGGGAAAAGTCTGTATTCCGCGGACCCGCGATAGACCGGAGCTCGTAGCTAAGCTGGATATGCCTTTGCCGTCAGAGAAGTCATTCTCTCTGCCGGCTCCTTCGAGACGCCAAGTAAGCAGGGAATCAAACTTCTCGCACAGAGAGTGCAGTTGCTGACCGCGATTAGAGCTACTTATGCTGAGCGGCATTGGACCTCCAGAAGAACTCTCGCGTCACGGCATCAAAACGACAGTTTCTTCCCTTGGTGTAGGCAGGAATCTGCAAGACCGATTCGAGTATGGCAAGACTCCTTCAGCATTCTCCTCGACAAAGGCCTGCACATTCAACTATAAAAATCCAGATCTATGTCTGCAGCAATAGATGAACAGCATGACTCCGGTAGGCGATGCCTTTCTTGATCGACATCCGTTCCCGCTGATTTTATACAGGCTCTTAAGAGGGTGTACGGAAGCAATGGCCCTGTAAGTGAAAGCCACCCCAGATCCTGTGTTGTTCGTGCTGAGACTGAGTCCAGGCGCTCGCTGTCACGCTGCGGTCTTCCGTCGCAGCACAATGGGAACCTGATGTCTATATCAGCGGTGCTCCAGCGTTCTTCCGACGTTATCACCCAAACTATGCATCAGAAGCTGTCGCTGATCCTATGCATTGGACCTGGATCATTCTCAAGGCCCAGTCGCGGAATAGGGGAGGCAGGGTGACGCTTCGCTCGACCAATCCCTTTGCTATGCCTGAAATCCAGTTCAATAGCTTTTCCACTAGCGGCAACGAGGATGTTCAAGCTATTATGGATGCAGTTGATTTTGGTCGTCGGGCCTTTGCTGATTTGATTCCTCTTGGAGGCGATGGCTTCACTGAGAACAGTCCTGGCGAAGCGCAGTTTCCTTCGCGGTCCTCTCAATTGGCTCAGGACATCCGCGATAAAGCTTGGGGTTATCAGTGAGTCTGATGATTTCTTGCCAAATGGCTGAGACACTTGCTGATCACAGAATTCTTCGCTTTCTGTAGTGCTTGCGGCACTGCTCGGATTGGTGCACAAGGCGATCCTTACGCTGTACTCGACAGTGACTTCCGAGTCAACGGCGTAGACGGTCTACGAGGGGTAGATGGCTCAATCTGGCCCAGAACTCCTGGTTTCTTCCTTGCTCTTCCCGTTCACATTTCTGCCGAGAAGGCAGCAGATGTGATTACCGGCAAGGCTCCAGATCCGTATTTTGCGACTCCAGACGCAGGCGGTCTTCTCGGCACACTTGGAAATGGTCCCGTAGGAGGCGTTGTCTCACGCCTGACTGGACAAGGTGAAAGTGCCGGTCTTGGTCTTTTCGTAGGTTTGGTCGTGCCGTCCAAGATGTTCGCTGTGGCTGACAGAGTCTCTAGGATAACACGCAGCCAACAGGCGACTATCCACCAGGCCAGTAAGAAGCTGCCTTCTACTCGATTCAGCGTTCAAACTGCCGCTGTCCCCGTCGAGAAAGTGTGCATGAAATCTCGAGCAGGCTATAGTCGGACTCTGCATAGAAAAGGTCCATGTGCGGACGATGGAGAAGTTCCCAGAACCACAAACCTGCTGTATTGGCCCCTTTACTCCTCAGAAGCTCTGCCAAGTCGCATGAACGCATTTGCTGTAGGCATCAGAAATTTTAGGATATCCAGTTCAAGCCTTTCCACCAGACAGCAGCTCTCTTTCTACAATGCCACCATGGTGACACGTGCACTCTTGCAGCAGCACACATGTGAAGAGGAAAGCTACAGTGTCTGCCTATGTAAGGGGTAGAGCAAAGCAGGCCCTAGCGAATATGATAACCATCCCTTCCATTTCTGCCTCTTACATCGGACCTGTACATGTTCATCATCGCCGGAGTGTGCGGGTGGCGGGCGTGGAGCTCGTGGCGGTCGTCTTCTGGCCGACGGCGTGCTGTTAGGGAGGCCCATACGTACCAGATTGTCAATACAGCACTTCTGAGCGCAGCGACAACAACGCAATCTTTGCCCCTTCAAGTTCTTTTTATTATATCTTTTTATATAGAGGAGTTATGGGTTAGTAATATAGAGCAAAGATACTCTAATTTGTATTTATTTTTAGAATATAATAAAATTTATAGTCGTTACCTACTAAATTTATAGGATATACAGCCTAAAATTCTAATTTAGAAGTTTAACAATTTTAGCATTTTTTATGCCTTAGCATACTGTTTTTAGTAATCTAAAATCTAGATCTTATGGTTTTACCGTATAAAAGTCTAAATTTCAATTTATATATTAGTATAGAAACTATTAGTAATACAATTTAGAAAGGAATATTATTTTCTTACTATATTCTCTTTAGTTTATCTTTTTATTTGGAAGAGTTATAGCTTAGTAATATAAGACAAATATACTTTTACTTTTATATATTTTTAGAAAATAACTAAAACTATTATAGCTATCTACTAAGATTAGCCTAAAACTCTTAAATAAATATTTTAAGATTTTAGTATTTGTTAGGCCTTAGTATACTATTTTTAGTAATCTAAAACCTAGACCTTAAAGTTTTATCTAGTATAAATATTGGTTGAGATTCTTATCTTAATACGCTTACTATTAGTCTTAAAATCCTAAAGCGAATATTCTTAAGAATTGCAGGCTTAGTAATTTACAGTTTACAATTCTTAAGAATATTCTTTTTCAAGTTATAAGACTATTTATAGCTTAGTTAAAGTAAAAGCCCTAGTATAGATTCCTAGTAGGTAAAACTATAAGGTCTAGGTTTTAGATTACTAAAAATAGTATACTAAGGCTTAAAAAACGCAAAAGTCTTAAAATCTTTATTCTAGAATTTTAGGCTTATATTAGTAGCTAGCTATAATAATTTTAGTAATTCTCTAATACTAGATTAAAAATAGAGTATTTTTGTCTTATATTACTAAGCTATAAATCCTCTAAAGAAAAAGATATACGAAAGGGAATCTAAGAAGAATTTAAGTTTTAAATTCTAGATTATTGCGAGCGAAGCTCGCCTTACAATAACAAGGGTACTACAGTAGCCGAATCCCCTAAGAAATCACTACGTAACTCCCCGGATTTCAGAAGCTGAAGCTCTGATTGGCTGTATTCTATACGAACTAGTAGGACGGTAGAACGGCAGAACTCGCCTTCCGAAGATCACGTTACTTTCGACTTTATAACAATGCGCCAATAGCACTATGCGCCGACAGCAACAGCCCTATTATTGCGAGCGAAGCTCGCCTTACAATAGCAACGTAGGTACCAATCTAGTTGCTAGAATGCGTACTCAGCTATACGTGACGCTAAGCCGACCCCGGATTTTAGAATCCTATATACCTAATTGGTCAATTTCTACAAGTAGAGACTTTCGGAGCTAGCGCCGGTATCTCCGAACAAGCGCCGACTTCCCGAACAAGCGCCGACTTCCCGAACAACCGCCGACTTCCCGAACAACCGCTAGTAAAGCCTTTTACCTTCCTTCTAATACTTCAAATATATAGTAAAATATATAGTAAAATATACAAACAATTAATAAGAAAATTAATAAGAAAATTAACTAAAACATTAATAAAAGAATTTATAAAACAACTTTTAATAAAAGAACCTATAGAAAAATTAATTTTAATTATAGAAAACATACGATTTAAATTTATAAAATTACCGAAAAATATTAAAGGAACGAGAGCGAGAATAAGAGCGAGGAACCCTAAAATTCGCGGCTCCGCTATACTAGGTATATATAAAATTTAAAAACTGGCGGGCGCTACCGCTATTACTACGTAAGTAGAAGGAGCAGAAGTACTTACGTACGGGTACTATCCTGGTTAGTAAAACAATTAACAAAACAACAAA